GTTTGTCTTGACTCGAGTCCATAACATTTTATTCCTTGCTGAAGTGTGTATGTGTGTGACATTTACGGAGAAGTTGATCGCAGGCTTCGTCGTTGTTCCCCAGCAAACAGCTTGCTCCAGGTGAAGAAGCTCGGCGGCGAGAAGGTGTGGCGCGGACAAGCCTCTTGCTCAGCAACGGGCCTCATGAAACAACTTGCTCATGCTGTCAACGTTGGGCGATGGTGTGTGATTTAAAGCGCTTCTGAATTGATGATCACAATGCGGTGGCTCTTGGACTGAAGCTGACATTGTGGTATACGTTACGCAGAAGCCGTCCTGGCCTGGCGGCTGCGTTGTGATTGCTTCAGCTTCGGATCATTAAGCTGAGGCGGTCCGTTATGTCCACGATCTATTCCTGGAGTTGGACAGAGAGTCAAGATTTGGCGGGAAGCTCTTGCACCAAAATGTGCTGGCCCCGGTTCCTGCAATCAAACTGCTTCGTGCTCATCACTCAGAACCTGGAGCTTGAAGCCTTAGCCCACCCTGCGGCAGCCGCAGATGCGAGGTGTTTCCATCACAGAGCCAAGGCTTCCTTCTGGAAAGGATCTCTCCTGCTTCTGCTCAAGCACCTAGGCTCCGAGACTGAGAATTGGGCGTGCAGATAAAGTGTTTCTATAAACCATGTCAACTGCCTTCAGCCAGTGCTAGCCATACTCTGTGCAACTCATTGTTCAATGCCATGTGGTTCATGCTGCGGTTCAGACTGATCCCCTTTGCCACTTCTCTATCCTTTCCTCCCGGCATTCTAACATCTTAGTGTGTTTGTACAACTGTCAGACTGCTTTTGGAAAAAAGAAGCCAGGGGAACCTCATGATGAAGTGGAAAAGCTGCAGAGACAGCAACTTGCCCGAACATTTTCGAAATGGGGATTGCTTGGGGTCGGAATCTCTGAGCTTAAATCTGGTGCGGGTTAGGGCAAATGGGCTCGTGTCCTTTCTTAGTTGGCATTGGCTTTTGTTTTGCAGATAGCCATAGACAGCCATTGCATTCTATACTGAATTTGGGCTGGTCTGTAACCTCCTTTGTTGCTACTTTTCGCGCGTGAGGTTCGACCTCTGCGTTAACCTCCTGTCTTCGCTGCACTGAGGTATTACATGAAGCATGGGCGCAGATCACAGAAAACCGTATGCCGTCCGGCGTTCAAGGACTGGAGATTCAAACATGACGCAGCCCTTAGCTCTCACGCCGACGCGGAGCGGAGCCAGAGCACTGCCAGGTAGCGTAGGTTTAAGGCTCTTGGGTTGCTTCCCCAAACGGAAAAACTGCTGTCAAAGCCTAGCTCATTCTAGAATTCTAGCAGCCATGCTGCGCAGGACATTGGCCATTACTACGCGGAGTGCCAACCTCGCACAAAAGACTTCGAAGTGGACCCAGAGACTCCAAGCACCGCGGTGGCACGTCGGGACAGGCGGCAAGATCCCTCTCCACCCCTATCTATCTGTGAGACTTCTACCATCTACCATCATCTACCCAGTTACTGACCGAGGTTTCACAGCCCGGCACAGGCGGCCCCGGCTGCCACGGGAAGCGAAGGAAAATCAGAAGACGAAGCCGGAGACCCAGGCACCCAGGACGGCTCGCGCGAACCCGCAGTCCAGTTGAGCTTTTCTTCAAGTTTTGCAGCCAGATCCAGGGACTACCCAGTGCTCTTTGTCTACCTGGTGCGCCCGGACAACTCGACCTATCCCTGCCGCACGGGAAAGTCGGTGACAGTGCCTTGGAACGCAAGCCAGCAGCCTTGCGCTCATTGTATTCGCCGACTTTAAAGCATGCTGTCACCACGTGTCACAATGTATGCAGAATCAGCTAGCTGTGGCAGCTTAAAGTGGCGCAAAATCAACTGGCAGGCTTGGTTTATCTTTGACCGTACCCGTGTCAGGTGCGACAATGCGTCCAGGAAGCCTTCGAGGATGCGCCATACGACCCTGATTGCCACTTGTCTGGTGACCAAGCCGGGATCAAGTAGAGACAGCTCATCTTCTCACCTCGTAAGGTTACTTCTGCCTCTACGAAAATGAGGCTGTGCCTCTGGACACGGAGCTTCTTGGCAAAACGTACCTTTCGACAGTTCGCGGACTGCAGGCAGGCCTGATGCCCTACACTGAGCCCAGGATTGGCAATATCCCGTGGCAGGGCGATCGCAAACCCCGACTCCTCTTCGCTACTCGGTCTTTGTATTTACGTGTCTTTGTCATGTGTTTGAATTTCTTGCGGAGCCGCACACAGCTTCAGCTGCAGTTGATGAGCACGTTGAATTGTGATGCACAGCAATGGTTTGTAGAACTTCCGTACGTCATTGCCAGCACGGCCAGGCCTACCTGCGCAACAGAGCGAGGCACATGCTGGAGGAAGCTCGGAAAGCGGCTGCGTGCTGTGGCCAAGGGCTCATGACTGTGTCTTGCTGAGCACCATCTCTTCAGATGTACACACCCGTCGACCCCAAGCCTACACTGTTGAGGAGTTTGTTGAAGCTTAACATGTACTCT